ATTGAAGACTTAGGATATTTTTGACCATCGTCTTTAAAGTGTACGTAGCTGCATTTTTGTATCATGTTTTTTTTTGTGTAAATAAACTTGGAATAACAGTTGTTTTTATGTTTGTACCAAGGGTACGTGCAGAGTTTGGCAAGAGAGCATTCATTTATGCAGCCCCTTATACGTGGAATCTTCTGCTTCTCTTTGGTTCCTCTCAGCCGTTTCAAAGCACTATTGCAGGATTTTTGTACACAGTCTTCTATACGGGCAATGTCATGGTATGTCTTTGCTGATCTTTGTAATCATGTTGCATTTTTTGTGTTTTTTTTTTTTTGGTTAATTTCTAGTATGTATCAACATACTTTTTGCCTTTTCTTTGTAGTAATCTTATTTTTTGTATATTGCTTGGTTTAGAGCTTTACTTTTTTATTTTTATTTCATACTTATGTTGCTGTCCGTCTTGGCCAGGACACTCTTTTTAATCTCAAGATGTTTTTCTGGTTAAATGAAATAAAGTAAAATAAAATAAAAATAGTTGTGAGTTTTATGGTTATGAAGTGATGTGTACCTGCTCAAATATAAAACAACATGTTGGGACCACAGCACCTATGGAGACCATGTGGAAACTGCAAGGAGTGTGATTTGTCAGTGTGGGCTGCCTGTGTTTCTTGCTGCATGTTTCAGATGTGAAAGTGGGGGTTAAACATTAAAGTAGCAACTGAAGATTTTCATAAAATAAAATCCAGTTTCTGATGCTATTCATGGTCTATATTTTTTTGCCCAGAAATAGCCATTAAATGTATTTATATTCAATAATTACCTCTCTACACAGTGGTTTGTCATGGTTGGTGGCGGAGTCCGCCACTCCTGCGCTGAATTCAAATTGCCACAGTATCTTCATTTATTTACATTTATGTAATCCAGTGTTAAAAAATTTCATCACATTAATAACACACTCACAATGATATCTGAGCTGTATTAAGACTTTTATTACTGGGGCTACATTAAAAGTATTCAACTGGCTAAACATGGGGTAGCTTTTATTGTGAAGAAATCACAGGAAACGTGTCTGTTTTAATCTTTGATAGGGAGCAATGGAACAGGAAGTGGTTGGAAAAGTCAGTCAAATGGATGTCTTTGGTTTAAATGAAAATTTAAGTGGTCTTGGATATGTGAGAGCATTGTTTAAATGATTCAATACATTTAATACAAATCAACAGAATACAGTACGAGTGGGTTGCCTCGTGGGTTTTGTTTTTTGATCCAAGACAAGCTTTGATTCAGTCTTGTGCTTGTACACAGCGTCATTTCAACATTACATTCATACAAAACTAATCACACACAGTAAAACTTAAATTTTATACATAATTTAATGATCTTGAAATGAAAAAAAAAAAGACGTGTGCATTTGTCCTTAAATATAAATAAATTTGTATCAGCTTGGTAAATGCGTGCCTCTGCCTTTTCTTAAAAGTTTTAGTAGTTTCCGAACCTAAAGAAGCTCAGCACTCTGCAAACATGTCAAAGTCTTGATTAAAACAGCGAGAATAAAAACATTATTTCCGCTCTTGACAAAGCTTTAGACGATTCACTGGTTTCTAATTTGTTCAAAAACGAGTGTCAGAGTAACAAACCACTTGTGTTTCCCAACCTCTCTCTTAAGTAACTTTAATCAAAGAGGTGCTCTGTGTTTTGACAGTGTAATGATACAGACACAGAGCTAATGGATCTCGTAAAACTCCTGACTCCGTGAAAGCACTTTGTTTTTCATTATACCCTCTTCAATGTGTTTTTCTATGCTCCTTTCCTTATTTCCTTGATTCCCTTTCGTGTTCTTTTCCTTTCTTTTCCCCTTACAAATTTCCCTTTTTTTACTCTGATCTTTTCTCCCATCTTTTCCTTTTCCTTACATATATCATTTTCTGTCCCTTCCCTTGTCTGATTTTCCCCCTCTCATCTCTTTTCGTTTTTTCCTGGTACTTTTTGTCTTTTCTTTTACTTATTACTCCTCTCTACCCTTTCCTCTTTTCCCTACCCACTGCTTCCTCACATTCCTCCCCTATTTCCCTAAGTGTTAAGTTAAATTAAAATCTTAACAGTATCTACCCCATCTCGAAAACAGCGCACTTAATTTAATTAGGAGAGGTTCACAAGCATCCTGGTGACATGGTAAATCACTGGGGCTCCACGATATTGATGTCTGTAATCACAGCTCTTTATTTTGTATTGTAAATCTGTTGTCTAACTTTGTTGCTTTGCCAAACTTCCTGCTCATCCTTCGTGGTTTAATTTTATCTGCTGCATTTGGAATCGTCCTTTAAAGGCAAAGCACATATTCCTCCTCTAGTTCAGTGGCCAATGCAATGTTTGGCAATTCATTTGTAATGGTATTCATGACTGTGCATGGACTGACTGCCTCATTTCAGAAAGGATCGATACTGTGTTAAGACATCACCACCTTTTGCCACAGGCTGACATAAAACCATGCAGACTGGAGCTGGTTATAAAAACATTTCCAGAGGTGTTCAGTGGGTGGAGTCATTCAAAAGTGTTGAGGTCCCTTGATGGGCAATCAGTTGTTTCCAAAGTTAATAAAACCCTCTGGAAATGTATGCAAAAGTACAAAATTGTATATTTCTGTTTGTGTCAAATTGTAGCACTCTGTAAAGTTAGTTTAACATGGCCTGTGAGATCTAACTGAGATGCTCTTTGGGAAAGTTTAAACTCCGCAACCCCAGGCAACGTTAGCCAAGTTTGGCTAACATTCATAAGACACACTGGCGAGTCCTCACCCTAAATGTCTGTTCTCTTGTAATGTTCAATCTGAAATACTTATGAGGTATGTAAGCTAATCAGCCGAACAGGGATATTTAAGAATGTAATATGATATTAATGATACTAGGGTTGACTTTGCACCCAGGACGAGTCTGGTGTAGCTACACCTACCTCCACAGCACTGTGTCAGCGCTTGAGAAGGGAACTGAAGCACAGACTATCATTCCAACACATTCTCACTCTGACCTCGTCACATATCGCCGCTTGGTCATGGACTTTCTATGTCAACATATGATGTGCAAGGTAGGTTTGTTGTTTCACAGGAAATGTACAGTTTGCATACTGTCTCTTTCAAAATAAATGTATTACGTTGGTACAACACTGCAAATTGATTTTTTTCTCTTTTGAAAAATAAATGCACAAGTTTATGTTGAGCAACACACGCATGTGGTTAGATTGGGGTCATCCCTATGTTTCCAGGGTTCTATGTTCCCCACTTAACCCTGCAAAAAAGGTTCTATGTTCCCTGCTTACACAAAAAGGGTTCTTTGTTTCCCGCTTGGTTGAGCGGGCAACATAGAACCCGGGAAACACAGAACCTTTTTTGTGTAAGCGGGGAACATAGAACCTTTTTTGCAGGGTTAAGTGGGGAACATAGAACCCGGGAAACATAGATACGCTCCCGTTAGGTTGAGTTAACATGGTTTGGCTTTACAGTCTCATGGGAAACAAACACTGGCTGCCCAGGTGAAAGTCGGTAGTTGTTAGACCCATCCACCAACCCCCACCCTACTCGAACTTTTCACCCCTTTAACTTAGGTTGTTCCCCCCGACACTGTCAGGTGCTGTTACACACTAACGCTGACATGAAAGGATGGCTTTTTCATCAGAATGTGACGCCAAAGACACCACCACCACCACAAGTGTTGGTATTCGACAACTTGGAAATATGTGCTCTGACTAATTAAGTTAATCTAGAGATAATGCGCAGATCTTTTCCCCCATCGACCAATCAACTGGTTGAAGAATAGGTAGAACTGCAGTCAACCAAGATTTTCTTTGGTTGATTTCAGCCCTACTGGGTTGTTTGTTTGTTATTTCTTCAAACCAGTCATAATTGTCTTGGCTGGTGCCAAAGCGAGAATACAGCGAGGGCACTAGCAAACTAGTGTAGAAGGGGAACTTGTTTTGGAGGAATATTTGTAGTAGACGTGCGGTAGGTGTGCTTAAACGCCAAAGCAATGCTGTTGCGGCATTCATGCGCTCCCAAGCGCCTATGTTGGAGTTCACCTTTTGGAACACAGCAGTGCGCACCACATGTCATGTGACAAGAACCAACCAATCACAGCCCACAGACATCTTTCCCTTCTTCCCTAACTATCAGTTTTTGATAAACATGGAGAAGAAGTCAATCATGTAAGTGCAGGGCTGCCAAAGCTTTAAATGTGTCCCATGGACAACAGGCCTACACGCAAACAGTGCCCGGAGGAAGATCAGCTCTGCACTCAGGATTTTAGGTAAATAGGCTATGATATGGTGCGTCTTTAGCTTGCCTAGCAACCTTAGATGCGACCTGCTGTGGCGCTCTTGAAAGCTGGCACAGAGAAGACACAAGAGTAGCATCCAGCACCTGACCTGGTAGCATTTTAGGCACAGTCTATATCCACTGAGTCAGACTAGCTCAGGTCATACAGCATTAGCATCTATTTCAGGTGCATTACAAAACATTAAAAAGTTAGCTGGAAACAGAAACATGGACCTAATGTTAGCTTTATTAGCATTTTTACAAAATGACAGTCACTTGCTATAAATGAGAACGTGCTTTTGTATTCCTCTATCTGAAATCAGAGACCCATTGTTTCAAAAATGAATTTCCCCTGTTTATTCTGCCACTGTCAGCATTTAAACTGCATTTGTGCTGTGCAAGAACAGAAAGTTGACAGCTGCATTACAGTCTGACATAATATCTTTTAATCATAAAAGAAAATATTCAGTTTTTAGGTCTGTTTTAGGCAGGCGGCCATGACGAACTGGTTTTGTACTTCAGCTGTTTGGTGAGTAATCCAGTAATTGAGCTTGTAATCCAGATGTCCGATATAAAGGGGTTTTAGTGGTCTTGTGTCCTGGGATTGCTGCTGTCTCACCTCATTTGTTGATAAAGCATCAGTGTCTCAGTTCACCAGTTTGTAAAACGTCAATATCGTACCAGTTCGTTGATTCAGTCACCGGCAACTCACCTCGTTTGTTGAGAGAACCGAGTCTTCATCCAGACTGAGGATGGCATCAGTGAGGATGGCGTCGTGGGGGAAAAAACGACTGCTCATCGTCTGCAGAGACAAAAAGAAATAAATGACATTATTAACAACAGTTTATTAATATAAATATCCCATCAAAAGCAACACGAATTACATTTTTGTGTGAGTGATGTCGCATGTGACAATCTGTATCAGGGGTTAGTGACCTGTAGCCAGTACTACTTAAGATGTTTAGGTTCATATTCATCTTTTTTTCATCATTTTTGGGCATTGCATGCTTTTATCAGATCCATAGGATAGGTAGGAGTGATGACTATGAACAAGGGAGAGAGAGATCACAGGTCTGGCTGATTCAACATCAACATCCACGTGTTTTTTTCACCAAGTATCTCAGGAAATATGTTTCCCAGCAGTTTTAGGTAAAGAACTGGCATAGAGCTATGAAAAATCAAGGTAGAATAAATGGCCAATGAGAAAATGTGTTTGTTTCACGCCCTGCTGTGTGTCTATCGATCACTGAACTGACTTAATAGGTTTTGTGCGAGTCTTTATCAATTCACTGCCTAACAGAAAGTGTAGTAGACCTTGATCCATCGGGCTAAAGAAGGCTGCGGCTGCTGTTGATGTTATTGACTTGTAATTAAAGTGTAAATTATTGAACTGTTGAGTAGAAAAGGGAAAAAAAGACACAGATCTCGACTTTAGGGGGAGAAAAGTGTAAGTGAGGAATCAGACAACCTTCTCAGGCAGACTCGTACCTCATTATCACACCAGCAGACTACAAACTGCAGCATCGCTCTCATACACTGTTTACAGTTTATGATTGCTCTGATCAATGTTTATGTATCAATCTGCATTAGAAACATGTCATTATGTCTTTTTCTAGGCTACATGCGGGCCAATTTAGTTCAACAGAAGGATAATGTGAGGGTACCTTTAGTCTGATTCATGAGCAGTGGTTTTGTTTCGTCAAATTTCAGTGGGTGGAGCCTAAAAATAGAAATGTCTGTCTCTTATGTAATCAAGGATGACAAATGTATTATAGCTATTTTTTTCTGGGGGCCATCTTTGTGTGTAGAAGAAGCTGCTAGATTAGCAGGTCTAAATATTTATTCTCTGTTCACATGAGGGTTGGTTATGGATTTGTTTTAGCATTACTGCATGACCTGCTGAGTTTTTAGTGTGGCTTGGCTAATTCCATGTGTCACTCAGCAACTGGAGGTGGATGGGTTAGAGCAGGGGTCAGCAACCTTCACTACCAGAAGAGACATTTTTGGTCCAAAAAAAAAAAAAAAAGTAATGTGTTTGGAGCCGTGAAATATATCTGAGCCATATAATTAATGTAACACAGCCTTATTAAGTCTAAATTATCTTATCAACATTACTAATAGGTCTAAACATTAATGTGTTTTACCATCAGGTGGCTACTTTGCAGTGTGAAAAAGTAAACACATCTGTCTATGCAGTATTTAGTTCAACATCGTCCTCCAAGACTTTTCCTTTCTGGATTTGGAATCCACAGCTAGCTTCGCTAAGGAGACTCAAGGCAAGCAAAATTTTGAGAAAAGGCACTAGGCAGCAGACATAGCTATGACATTTTAGTTGACGAAATGTTAAAACATTTTTTAAATTTGTTGTGGGCCTATAGGTTAAATATTTTTACAACTGGACAGTGTAAACTGGACAGTGTAAGAATCACTGTAGACCTACAACAATGATAAATTAAAATTAAAATGTTCAAAAATAGCTGTGATTCATTCTAATGTAGCTTAATTTTTGGTCAAAGCCACAGGGAGCCATTGGAGAGGGGCTAAAGAGCTGCATATGGCTCCGGAGCCATTGGTTGCCTCCCCCTAGGTTAAACAAACACAGGACTTTGACCCAGAAGACCAGTGTTTGTGTCCCCTGTGAAACCAAAAGTCAACATCAGGTTTAACAACTTAGCATGGTACTATGTACGTCTAATATGTTGTTAGTGTACAGGAATCAATAAGTTGGTGATCCCACTTACCATTACAAGCTGTCTTCTGTCATTATGGAAGGTGCACTGATTTTAATTTATTGTGTCGTTATGTTATTTACTGTCATATTTTGTTGTTTGTTGCGATGTATTAGTTACCACAGAGATTTTGTTCTTTTTTTGCTCGTGTACTTGAACGCCACACTGATGAAACCCTGCAGACTTCTCGGATAGGCCACCATGCTCTGTTACAGTCTGCTGTCTCTGGACTTGTGGTAGGTTGACTTTGGCTAAGCTCCACTCCAAAAGTGCCATAAAAGCTCCCGAAAACACTTATTAATGTTCTGTGATGATGTTGGGTAAGGAGCTATGCGGGTTAGTGTAGGTAACTTTATTAGCATGTTAGCTGTTTGTCGCGGCGAATCCAGGTGGCATGGCTATTTGATTTGAAGCAAGCCTTACAGGTTTTGTTTCATTTTGTTTCAGTGCATGTTGAGCTATAAATATATGCGAGTCCAAGTCAAACAGTGACTGAGAGTGGGTCATCCTTAAATCTTCACAATGCAAGAGTACTAACCCATTACATCAGCAACACACTTACTCATTTTAACCCAAACCATGGTCTTTTTTTTAACCTAACCAAGGAGTTTTGGTGCATCTGTGACCATTTCACAACTTTACCCATGTGTTTAAAACTGCAACTGTTAACGATCACATAGGAGCACCTGTAGGGGCGCTCTTGTGGGTTGTATTAAAAGGTAGGAATATACGATGACATCTGTGGTTGTATTGGTTGGAGGACTTGTTAAAAATGATGAAGAGCTGTACAGTTTTTTCCAGGAATGTGTAAAATATTGTGCAAAAATTCACACTATAATGTATAGAGAATATGTACAGTTATGATACAGAGATGACTCCAAAAAATGTGCATTAAAAAAGAACTGTCAGTGCAAAACTCAACACTGTAAGGCACAATCGGAGGCTAGACAAACATGATCTTTCAAGGTCAGTTTTCTGGGTTGGACCTGGAAGATCAGTTAAACTAACCACACAATCTATAGTAAATGATGCACTTAAGTGTAAGTAGATTTTTGTTCACATGGTAGCAAAAGTTCTTCAATGTAACACAACTAGTATGATTAACTCTGCCTTAAGCTGGAGAAAAACTTGTGTTAATCATTAATTATATATTTTTCCTCTGCTTTTATCTCACTCTACTAAGATTTTATATAATTGAAATGGACCTCCGTGGTAACTACTGTCACAGCAGTGACGTTTGACACAGATTCACTGTCTTAAATAAAGCAGATTGAATTTACAGCCCCAGGGGTAATATTAAGAGGCTTATTTTGCAAAGTAAGACCACAAATATCCGCAAGTTTAATGTCTACTTCCATCTCAGCTTAATGAGCCGATGGATGCTGACTGCAACTTCATCAAGAAATTAAGCGTAACATCAAACGAATTTGAGCGCAAATCCCCTAAATTATTTGAGAGTGCCACATAAAAAAATGTATTAAATCACTGCTTAAAGTGAGAACTCTTGGCAGAAAATGTATTTTCTTTGGATGGATGCCCTATAATCACCAGGCAGGTAATTAGTTCAGTTAGGATGGTGCTCATAGTAGTGTAACAGTCTCTCAGCTTTCTTATGAAACCACCAACATAGTCTAATTGGTTAAAGTAAATTCACCACTTGCCTGATAATCAGCTGCATTCATCATGGACCGATGGGCTGAATGTAGCAAGTTTACAATATCAAAGATTTGAATAAGCAAGAATAAATATATGAACGATCACATGCACCATACACACACATTGTCATGGGTCAGTCTGCATTATGACTTCACTACATTTCCAAGCATCCCGCAGGTTATCTTCCTTTAAACCTGGATTAAACCTGACTCAGGGCCATGGACCAAGTGTAGGTATTTGACGAGCTGGGAGTGAGAACAGCTTTTCATGTAAATGGTAAATGGACCTGCATTTATTTAGTTCCTTTCGAGTCATCTGACCACTCAAAGCTCAAAACTATGAGTCACATTCAACCATTCACATCCACATTCATTCACTGGTGGCCGAGACTACTGTACAAAGTGCCACCTGCTACTCAGTTTTTTTTTAACACACTCACACACCGATGGAAGCATCATTGGGGTTCAGTATCTTGCTCAAGGATACTTTGATATGCGGACTGGAGGAACTGCTGATCCTCCGATTGGTGGATGACCCGCTCTACCTCTGAGCCACATTTGATTTGCAAATTTTGGAATAAGTACTACAATAAAACGCATCAGAGTCAGTGTGAGGTTGCTGTGTGTTACGATCTTTACTGGATATTGGATTAAAGAAACACATACAAAAACTTGAGACTTGGTGTTCAAAGGCCTTTAGTCCTGTTTATTATGATTTGTAAAAATGAATTCAAATCACATGCATTCTTAAATTTCAGCTATTTATCTAGTGCCTCAAGGTTTTAATAGAGTTACACAGTGGTGCTCCATGATGGACTAAATGCCACGTTAGATGCTTTTCCACTCTGGCAAGAACATAAAAAATGGTCATTGTGACAGATATTCATCAGCAGTTTTCAGTCCAGTAAACATCAGTTTTGGCACCGACCTTGAAAACCTCATAATGTACCTGTGCCTCATAACGTACCTATACCTGTCTGAGTGCAGGTACAGACAGACACTGCCCAGCCCTCCCTCCCTCTGGCTGGTGTCAATGCTTTTCTGCCTCTGGGCAGAGATTAGATCCCACTGAGATCACTGGCAGTTCAATGGACTGAACCTTATCTTTGTCGCTCTCTTTCCTCCCATTTCCCCTCTTTATATTTGCCGTGACTCCTGCTACTTCAAGGGGAGACTTTGGAGATATCAGGTCTGTCTTCATCTCGCTGATTTTTCTCGATGTCTGTAAATTACAGCTGAAAGTCAGAGATCACAGAACTATCTGCAACACCATTAAAAACTATGGACAGCCACTCACAACAAACATTTTACTTCATTATTAGGGTAAGAAATGAACTATTTCAGTCTTTATATATCAGACCAGTTATTTGATGTCTGATTGTGCCTAATTTGACTATCTTAGTCATAATCTGAAAGAA